AATATTCAACTGAGCATATCTGGGATTAGAGATGCTCACCTCTGGGCTTCATCCCCTAAAGCTCCCCACGAGCAATACGTCTGGGGCAGGGTTCCATTCATTAAACATGAAGATATAGCAACATGGATACTCACTAACTTGTAAACGGTCAGGGAATCCAATGAGAGTTTCAAATTGTAGGCCAGAATAATGAAAGTGATAACATAGTTTAAAACGTACCAGGAAGTCTGGCAGTTGTTTGCTTAGCATTCTATTTTAAATAACTCTAAACCAATAGAACTAAATTATCAATATCTTACAGGAAAATAACTTTTGAAAACAGATTGTAATGTAACGTTTATAATATAGTATATATTGTACTGTTATACAACGTGTCTCATCTCTGGAAATTCACCTTTAACTTATGTTACAGGCCTTATGTTTGGGATGCTAATTTTCTTTTAAATCTATATTAAAGATTTATCAGATGATGTCAAAATCCAGTTCAGTCTTGGCACAGCCTGGCATGCACTGCATTGAAACAAAGAGGGTGGAACTTATAATGATTGACAGGGAGCCAAGATGGAGGTGATTTCTTGGATAGAGGGAAGTGCAGCCGTGGGAAGTTCAGAGAGCAACGGCAGATGACGTCACACCAAAATGCACGTACCTTTGCATGGCGTAAAAAAATCCACTGGGTTCCCACCGTTCGTTTATGCGAACACGTGGCGGCGGCCATCTTAGAATACGAACTGCACCAGCAGGGTTTGGTCGTCGAGTGTCTGGAACCCAAATCGGACACTCGATGGCACGAACACCGCTGAGACTTCCATCCTCATGTAAGTTTGTGTAAACTCAGGGGAACAGAGCAGCATTCGGTGAAAAGAACCACACGAACGAGATGATTTCAACAAACTAAAGCACCAACCATCTTTATATGCAATTTTGTGTAATTCAGACTCTCGAAAGTAAACCGATTGCACAGCCCAGTCGCATGGAACTATTTTAGGCATACACCTTCCATGGAATTGCTGAACCCCTGAACCGATCTGGGTGATTTTTCAGTATTTGCTCCCCCAGATTGGAGCTAACAGGGGATGTCTGAATTGTGGGATTGGAATATGTTTTTAGGGTATTTCCGAAAATGTATACAAATTGTCATTTTTTTTTCCGTTTGGAGATAATTGAGTTGATACAGTAATTAACTCAATTATCTCCCAAGCAGAGGGGAGGGATTGTGTGGAATGTATGGGAGTGACTCATTACCAGACTCTATGTTTATTGGTTGTTTACTGTTTTTCCCTGTGCCCAACAAGGTCCACCTCGGTGGTAACCTTGTGATAAAACTTGCATAAAAGGCCAGCATGGCCCATTAAAGTTGAGTTCTGCTCTTAATACTGAGTGTTGTCCAGTTATTAGGAAGGGTGATGGGAGATTTGTGGATTATTCTATACCTCTGCCTGTATTCCTGAAGTATCCTGCTTGTTCCTGAGTAGCTGTTGGAGTAACCAGCAGAGGAGAGTCCCGGCTAGGACTAGCACTCCGCTACAACATTGAATTAGGGAGAGAGGGAAAGTGAAGGATTTGTTCTCTAAATTCAATATGCATGATTCAAAATGTGATTGCATTTTATAAAATATAATAAAATGCATTAAAGAATTTATTTAAAAAATGTAATGTCTGTTTTATTTTAACCCGCTCCTATAACTTGTAGTGATCCTAGCATTGTTCTTGGAGTAAATTTACACTGTGTCATTATCATTATTATTATTTTTATTGTTATTATAACTGACATTTATATAGCACCCAGGCCCGGACTGGCCATCGGGTTGGCCGCGGTGGCCATGGACCAAGGCCGGCAGACGAGATCACAGGATCTCCCCTGCTGGTCTATGCAGGGCCTGCACCATCCGAGCGCTGGACCTGCTGCATTCCATAATGGGCCGGTCAAAGATCTCCCTCACCGGCCCACATGCAGTATATTGTGGCTGCTGGCGGAGAGAGACAGGAGAGGAACCCGGAGGAGTTCTAACACAGGCTAGAGTTCACTCACCACTAGCACCACCAGGGATGGCAGCAGCAGGATCCCCCCTCCCAGGCTGAAGGTAAGAAGGGAGGGGGGATACAATCACTTACAGCACCCTCACTCACACACACACACTGCACCCCTGACACTTACACACACACTGCACCCCTGATAATCACAGCACTCTCACTCACACACACACCCCTTACACTCACAGCACCCTCACGCACACATGCTGCACCCCTGACACTCACAGCACCCTCTCTCACACACACTGCACATGCACATAGCACCCTCACTCAGACACAGCACACACACTGCACCCCTCACACACCGCACCATTACCCACACAGCACCCTCACACACACACTGAACTCCTCTTGCACACACCCACATCACCCTCACACACACAGCACCCATCACTCACACACAGCACCCCTCTTGCACACACACACACACACACACTCACACTGCACAATACTATTTCCTGGCATTTTTTGTCTCCTGGTATCCCTTCTATGGAGACACCAGAGACAAATTTCAAGCAAACACAGTGCAAGCATGTTATTAAACTTGCTTGCGCTGTGCAGAACAAATTCAGGGTCTTTTTTTCTCATGCTAGAGCTCTTCGGCAGAGCTCTGCGCATGGTCTGCCCTTGAAGAGCATTGAAAACACATGCTCACTTTGTGATGGGGCGTGCTTGCCATTGGTGATGACAAAATACACCATATCCGGCCCCGCCCCCTTTTTAGTGGGCCGCTGTAATAAAAAAATGCCCAGGCCGAATTCTTTTCCGGGCCCAGCCCTGGTAGCACCAACTTTTCCTCAGTGATTTACAATATTATAAAGTAGGAAATTTAACTAAAAATGAGACAATTACTAAATGTTATTAATAGTTCCCATAAACCCACTGTGTGGACTCCCACATCGGAGCCTGGTTATCGGCCTACTCTATGACATTCTACAAGCCTTCAGGGCCTCTCTATGGTCCTCTTTCCCCTCTTAAAGTATTCATTAATGTTTATGCAGGTTATCCCCTCTGAGTCTGCCTAGTCTCTGCCAACTAAAAGTACTCCAGACATAAAACAGGTCTTTACAAGTGTATTTCCTTATGAGATTATCGACCTTAATCCGACGTGGCTGGCTTCTGACAGAAAATACATTAACACTTAAAATATGAGGATTGAAAAGCAGATTTATTATTCTGCACTCTTTATGCATACAATACACAGACTTTTTTGGTGGTGTATAGGTCAATATACAGTGCATACTGTACGGCTACCCCAGTTGGTGAGAGGGTATCAGCCGTTGGAGATGTCCTTTTTCCCGGCAAGCTGCTGTTCAGTAATGGAGTTCCTTATTCCCATTCACTAGATTCAAGTAGAGAGCACGGCAGAACTCTTAAAAAAGAGCTAGGTGATTAAGCTGTAGATTCCCTTCCAAGAACGAGACAAGGCTACGTTTTGAAGGGTCAAGAAGAACTGAATTTTAATGGCAGGTACTCTCCTTTTATGTGATTCTGCCCATGCAAGGGAGCCACCCACATAATTATTACAGTAACCAATACAACACAAGGTACAACCCACACATCTCTTCCCCTTAGATAAGCGTTTAACATAAGTAACAAGCACACATTTTTCCCCAAGTTTTGGATGTACCCCAAATATCTGGGGTACATTCATAAATCCGGTATCCCCTGATAGCCCTAATCTGGGGGAGCAACATATTTAAAAATCACCCAAATCGGGTCAGGGGTTCGGGAGTTATGGAACTTTAAAGTTTTGACCGACCGCACAGACACAATAGCTGAAAACAGTTCCATAAGTTTTGGCCTTGTGGTCGGTCTCCGTTTGTGGATTAAAAGGCCCGAAATGCTTGCCATCCGTGAATATCCTGGGGTTCATTAGAATCCCCATGTCTAACTTAGTCTCTCTACTGAACGGCGGGACGTTCGGTAGTTTCGGCACAAATTTATGGAAGTCTGGAGGTCTCAGCGGTGTTTGCCTAGTCGAGTGTCCGATTTTAGTTCCAGACACTAGACGGCAAAACACCGCTTTTCGGGAGTTTAAGATGGCCGCTGCCACGTGTAAAACTCCCGAAATGGCGGCCACCCAGGGACTTAAACAGAGCGTTCATGGGTTTTCCATATGACTGTATTAGCTGAACAGGGAGGTAAATTGAAGCACAATTAGGTGTCGGGGTGGTCTGGTGTTTGGTAGTTTTCCTTCGTACAGTGAATGCAGTGTCAATGCAGTGTACGGTGAAAACAATTAAATGAATGCTTTAATCTACCGAAAGTCTTTAGAGAAAATCTACACGAAAGCAGGTAGAACATACAATTTTCAGACAGCTTGATGTCCTTTGCTGGATAAGAGGTATATATATAATCCGTGGTCTCTGTTACTTAATATGTCCCTGGCTAGTAATGTCATATACGAACAGTCTTTTTATTTATGTGCAGGGTAAAGTGGGAAAAGGCAAGAAAATGGTGGATGTTCCCAGGCACATTGTAGGGATTTGTTACACATACACATTATCAATTTTGATTTTGCACAATGATTAACTTAGGGGACGACTCCAGCAAATGTTTCTTCTAGTCCTCTAATTATAACATGGTAATGAATTTAAATCTGTTGATGTTTTATATTGTTTAGATTCCTCTTTATCACAAATAATGCATTATTGACAGCTTGCAAAAGCCGAATTGAAGTTGTGTGTAATGTAATCCATTATCTGCTTTTTCAAATCTTATTTAGTTTTTGAAATTTTTATTTAGAAGATGTTTTTGCTGCAGGCACAGCCCACTAAACACAATATTGTTTAAGTTGTATATTATGTATAATTTATTTTAAGCCCTCCACGCTATTAATGTCAGGTAGCTTACCTGGGAAATTATTTCCTTACCGTATCTATGCCACCCAGCTAGCGACCACAAAGATTTACACATATGGTTATAGAACGGTTTAACTGCAGCTTAAAGGCTTCAATTAAATAGTCAATTTAGAGGAAGAACAAACAGGTGCAGTTTCTCTGGATTTTAGCTTCCTAGTCATAGACGCTCACTACGTGCGGTGTTTCATCCCTAACTCTTCAAACTCTGCAAAGAATTTGTATGGTAAGGCCGGCCGCCAGGAATAAAATGTACGGACTGGGCAGTATAAATGCTCAAGGTTAATGGTCGATTTTTGCAGCTCTGTAATTAAATATAATTAAGGAGTTATTTCAACCACAAAACTTGCTTTAGTTAGATTAGCCCTTTCTTAGATGGTCCCCCGCAAGGTTTAAATAAAAATAAATGCTAAAACTTACCTCCGTTCCAAATTCTCCCTTTACCTGATCCTCCTTTGCTGATGGGGAGAAAACTCAGGGAAAATTGACCGAGGAAAGGACAGGCATCACGGAGGGAGCAGTTAAGCCACCATTTGGCTGTCTGGCGCCATCATGTTGACATGCTGACCAGAACTTTGTTCTGAGTTGGCAAATGATGCTGCTGGAGGATGCCAGACGCCAAGCACCATAACTACTTCCAATAACGGAAGTAGTCATGGTGTTGGAGTAACTCTTTATCTACATTGGGTTTACTTAAGGCTCATTTCCAATCTTAGTTAGATTTTGTAATGGATAAAATGTCTGTAGCTAACTGGTTAGCCACTGTTTCACAACTGTAAAATCTCCCCATTGGCAACTCAGCACTCCTGCATAATGTTAACATCTCCTGAAGAGAATGATGGCATGTATCAATCGCTAGTTACCACCATGGGATCCATCAACAGCTAGTTACCACCATGGGATAATGTGATCCATTAACAGCTAGTTCCCACCGAGGGATAATGTGATCCATTAACAGCTAGTTCCCACCGAGGGATCATGGGATCCATTAACAGCTAGTTCCCACCGAGGGATCATATGATCCATTAACAGCTAGTTCCCACCGAGGGATCATGGGATCCATTAACAGCTAGTTCCCACTGAGGGATCATGGGATCCATTAACAGCTAGTTCCCACCGAGGGATCATGGGATCCATTAACAGCTAGTTCCCACCGAGGGATCATGGGATCCATTAACAGCTAGTTCCCACCGAGGGATCATATGATCCATTAACAGCTAGTTCCCACCGAGGGATCATGGGATCCATTAACAGCTAGTTCCCACCGAGGGATCATGGGATCCATTAACAGCTAGTTCCCACCGAGGGATCATGTGATCCATTAACAGCTAGTTCCCACCGAGGGATCATGTGATCCATTAACAGCTAGTTCCCACCGAGGGATCATGTGATCCATTAACAGCTAGTTCCCACCGAGGGATCATGGGATCCATTAACAGCTAGTTCCCACGGAGGGATCATGTGATCCATTAACAGCTAGTTCCCACGGAGGGATCATGTGATCCATTAACAGCTAGTTCCCACCGAGGGATCATGTGATCCATTGACAGCTAGTTCCCACGAGGGATCATGTGATCCATTAACAGCCAGTTCCCACCGAGGGATCATGTGATCCATTGACAGCTAGTTCCCACCGAGGGATAATGGATCCAGTTCCCACGAGGGATCATGTGATCCATTGACAGCTAGTTCCCACCGAGGGATCATGTGATCCATTAACAGCTAGTTCCCACCATGGGATAATGGATCCATTAACAGTTAGTTACCACCCACAGATAATGGGACCCAGTAAAACAGCTAGTTACCACCATGGGATCCATCAAAAGCCAGTTAGCACTATTGGATAATGGAATCCATCAACAGCTAGTTAGCGTCTGCTTTCCAACCCTTGTCAATAAATTTAACTGGCTGCTGCTACGCCTACAAATGTAAAACCGGCCTCTGCCTTGTGCAATCACACAAAATCCCCTTAGATCCACAGAGAGAGTTAAAATGTGCATGCACATGGATGATTCATTGCAATCAAATAAAAAAATTGCATGTGATCTGGGCATCTCCTGGACCCTTTGTTTAACATGGCCTGGCTGGGCCCAGGAGATGGCGATAATACAGAACCAGACCCAGACTGGGCCCACATGGTGGGGCTATTATGGAGTCAGGCACTGCTGGGCCCATGAGATGGAGACAATACAGAACCAGACCAATACAGAACCAGTCCAAAGCCAGACCCAGACTGGGCCTAGTAGATGGAGATAATATGGAGCTAGTCCCAGATTGGGCCTGGGAACTACTAATATTTCCATACTTAAATGGGCTAAGGATCCCCAAGCCATTAGCCACTCCCAAAAAATATATCCCTAACTATCCCACTCACATTAAGTATAAAAAGGAGGCCAGGACATCTAAAATAAACAAAAACTGTTATAAAACATTACTACTATTTGAAGTTTTCTTATTTCGATTTTTTTTTTATCAAAAAGTCCAAATAAAAATACATTTTATGACCATGAAACTATTAAAATGCAAAAGACCTGATTTGCAAAAAATAAAAAAAGTGTAAAAAAATGTAAAAAGCAGTGCAAGAAACATAAAATCGAAATACTCGAGACTTGCTGTAACGGACCATTTCAGCACACAAGGGGTTAAAACCGTTTAGGCAATCGTCCCCTTCCAGAGATGCAGGCACAGCTACTGCAGAACACCAATCCGCCGAACAGGAAACCATACGAATGCTGTAAACTGCCGAATAGGAAAAACCATACGAATAGGTTTACACTCCTAGCAGTCAAACTGGAACAGCATACAGTAAATCCCCCCAAGAATGAGACAAAGCTCCGTGTTGAGGGTCAAGCAGTGAACAGACAGAGCTGTGGGTTTATTGTGCTTATGTACACATTCTTACACATTAGTACCACCCACAGGGTTTTGGAACACAACCAATAAACACATACAATACACTCAGACACTCCCACACAAATTCCTCCCCTCTGCATGTGATTCAATTACCTTACACAATGGGTAATGTAATTTAGCACAAGCAGAGAAATACAATTTTTCCACATTAGTCATAACTTGAAAAGTATGCATCACATTCACATACAACTTACATTTTACAGAATCAGCATACTCCAAATACAAACATACATCAAAATCATACAAATTGGTCCAGTGGTTCAAAAGATAGATCGTAGTCCAAAACCAGTTCCACAGAGTCTTCTATCCTGGAGAAAATTAGAAGTAATCCAATTATCTCCAAAGACAGAGGCAAAACTCCATTGAACACATGGCAGCAAAAAGACAGTAAAATACAATAAAATACACAAGGTTACATTTATGACATAAAATACAGACATGCAACATATGCCCAGATAGCTTAGGTCTGAGCGCACATTATTACTGAATGGCGCTCAGAGCACACACATACAGTTCAATTGCCATGGAGCCAAAGTCTTTCCCATAGTCTTTCATTATACGAATGGGCTCCATGGCATAGCTATCTGGGGTATCACTGCTCAAACAGGGCAAGCACCGAATGACCCGGCTTTCTTGTCTTTGCAGGGGAAAATCCAAAGGCAGCAGGCGAGCAACCAGGCTTCTCCACTGCAATGTGGCGAGATTGCTCTCGTCACACTTGCCCAGTAATGTGGTGAAATATATGGAAGATGTGGTTTCGTTATAAGCGAGACTTGCCCAATAGAGCGCTGTGATTGGTTGGCATTCCGAATATGGTTAGACTTTTACAAGTAAGTATCTTGAAAGAAATATCTCTGTGGATGGTTAAAATAATGTCATCCTCTCTATCCAGTGATACCAAGTATGTCCTCTTACTGCAGGTTTAACGTCGCTGTTCGCTGCCATTCATTTTTCTTCAATAAAATAAAAAGATATGTTCTAAACTTCTTAATGAGAATAGAAAAAAAAAACTGATTAAGGAATTTGGATTTCTTCTGAAAGATTCTGTGCAGAATAATCTAGATCAGGGGTAGGCAACCTATGGCACTAGTGCCATGCACGGCACTCAAGGTGTCTTTTCACGGCACTCAAGGCTGCTAGAGCCAAACAGGCTCTGGCCTATCAGGAGTCCCAGTAAAACTTCAGATATCTGCTAATACGAAAAGGTGGTGAAGGACAATCCATGCATTGCAGCACATAGATGAAGTGATCTCAGATCACTTCCTCCCAGCACTTGTGAATGGGAATCCACACAGTAGTAGAGCAGCTTGCAGTTGCTGTTGCAGTTCCTGTCCTTGACCTGTACCTGGCCGGCCTGGTCCCCACTGGAACCCAGGGAAGCCACCCACACTGCTAGATATACACAGAAATGCAGAATAACCCTCCCCTCATACAAATAATACGAACAGCCACACAATCCGCACAAACTCAACACCACTAACAATCCACATACATGCACACAACCCACATGCAGCCTCTCACATGCAATACCCCAAACAGCCCACACACAAACATACACACAATCCCACAAACGCAACACCGCTAACAATCCACATACATGCACACAACCCCACACGCAGCCTCTCACATGCAATACCCCAAACAGCCCCCACACATACACACACTACCAAACACACAATGTGACATATCCATCCACACACAATTCCACAAGCAGCCCCCATACACAGCCCACATTCATATGTATCATACATGATACCACAATCTACTAATGAACATATACAATATAATAGCTCCTATACGCACAAATACAACGATACAAAGCAATTACAGTAAAAATAACACAAGCAGAATACGCAACATACACAGCTCAATTTAAAAAAAATAGGATCGGCACACTAGGGGACATCACAATCCTATATCGGCACAGTGCTGCTAAAAGGTTGCCTACCCCTGATCTAGATGATTCTAAGTGCATGCGGGTAATGATTAATAAAAAAGAACTCAGATTGTCCAAATCGATTCGTCTGAAAAGTTGTTTTTGATTTTTTTGGTTGAAGCAAGATTTGTCCAGGTGGTGTTTAGGTTCGAACAAATTTCATCATTTGATTGATCATTTCAGGGAAAAGTATATGGACGAAGCAAAATGGCGTCAAAGTGTAAAATGTAAATATTATGTATATATCTTGCAGGACACTGATACGAGCTATTTGCCACCATTTGGTCCACAGATCAAGTGAGAAAAAGTAACAGAAAAGGAGAGGAGGAGCAGTAAAGATCTATATTGATATATTATATATTAAATATATAAACATATAGTGTGTGTGTGTGTGTGTATATTAAAATTCACAGCTCCTTGTTTTTTTCCCTTTATTGTTTGGTTTGTTTTTTTTCTAATTTTTTTTTCTCTTGAACTGTGAATAAAATCC